GACCCGAATGAATAATCGACTATCACGACTGGATCGCAGAAGCAATGTCCCACGAGAACGAGACTCAAGGAAAAGGCCAGAGGACAGGCAGTAAGTAATTCATGTATTGGAAGAAATAAAGGTGATTAAATAATATGTACAAAAGAAGATTATTGGCTACCTGGCATCCACCAATTGGATTGCAGCACTGCTTGCATAATCTTGCTTCTGTCGGCATTGTCTTGGATTGGCTGGCACCATCCGCCAATGACGTGTATTCAGAAGCNGACTTCAACAATCAAACTTGATCGATCGCCAATGTCTTGAAACTGTAACGCGCCGCTCCAGGGTAGACGCCATCGTGTAGGCCTGGATCATCACAGTGTGTACTGTGTCGACGAATCTACATTGATGTGATTTATTGTCTGTTAGAATCTTTTTTTTTCAGATGAAGTCCAATGGCGATACACAATTGCGGTGGTGGTGGTCCGATGGTAACGTCATCAACTAATAATCTCGGGGGGCATGTGCTCAAATCCCACCACCAACAAGAACTCACTTTCCCCATACTCTGGGTCGTGTGGTAGCCCTTTGATTGGCCGCTTCCTCGTGTGATTGTATATCCAATTAAAGGAAACAAGGATGAAAAAGAGAAAAAAAGAATAGTTCCTATCCCAGTCAATTATATGCTCACGCACCCCTTCACCGAATGTTCTATTTAGCTCCTCAATGTCTATTTGTTTTGAAGACCCTGTTGAGAGTTAACCACTCAATTGGTTGATAGTGTTCCAGGCCTCCCTGTAGGAGTGTTCGTGAGCAGGTGCCGCTCAGTCAATGTGGCTCGTCTTTGATAGCAAGTGATAAGAGTTCCACCCTCCGGAGATCTTTGCGTGTGTATACTATTTCCTTGCTTCGAGGTAAAGGCTTCAAATGAGAAGATGAGATGCGACCATCGCGAAATATAGTCTCTCTTAAGGATAGATCGAACAGATTTTGTCGGAGAGACTATATACTTAGAAATATTGTAAGCACATTTTGTCAGACTGTGAGATGGTTAAAGTTTGTCCCCAAACTAGGTAAGATGTTTTTACCTTGTTTTTTTCTAGTTTTAAGCTGTACAATATCAGTGTAATTCAAAGAAATCGACTTATTTCCCGTCGTATTCCACCTTACCACGAATGACCGAATAGATCGAGAAAGGGTTCTCATTCATATGCTTATGATATTTCAACAATTGAGAACGACTGTTGACTGCAGCCAAACACAGACCCATAAGTGTGAATCAACGAATATGGGCTCATACTTCAGGTAAGCTAGTAACCTTTTCACATACGGGCTTTGTTTTTAACTTAGCATACGTTAAAGTTAGTCAATTGTAGGTTTTGGGAAACAATACAGTCAGTGGGGTGATTTCTGAGCTTCGGAATTTTCAATCATCTTTGATACATGTCTGCCAGATGATAGACTGTTTGACACCTAACGTACTGTTCGTATCACTCCAGTACCTAAGAAAGAAAATGGTAGGTTTCGGCTCGTCGCTTCATCTTCAATATTAATTCAGACTTTTGAGCCAGTAATTATTGAGTATCTATCCTCTACTCCTGTTTTTTGTTTGGTTATTGTAAGCGTCGTTCTACTGTAGATACGGTTGTTTGTCTTACACATTCTGTTTTATCCACTATCGACAGAGAACACAAAACTGTTCACGTTTGCTTTTTGAACTGTACAAACACCACCCTAATGACAATGTTACAGCATCCCTCGCCACATCTTTTGAATTGATTGCATGTTTATTTTACTGACCGAAGTCAATTCACGTGTTTTAATGCTATTAGATCCTTCACTGTCCTTATATAAACCGAGGTGTACTGTAGGGAGCAATTTTAACATATTTTCTGTTCTCCCTTTACACTTGAAACTTACCGATCGCCCAGACTATTTCCACATTTAAATATGCCGAAGATGTAGTGGTTGGTGGTGCATTCAACAATAACAATAACCCTTCAATCAACCTCTAATAGTTAGTCATAATTTCCAGAATGAACCAATGGTGTTAACTCTTTTTAAACCTAAACAAATGCATTGAAGTTTTGTTTTCCATTGACCGTAAGCCATCAATTCTTTCTGGATTATCTGTTCCCAATATCTTGATCAATAACTTCAAGGTTGAAAGGTCAAAACACTTCAAATACCTTAGATGTTTTCCTTCTGGTGATTTTAAATGCTCCTACCAGGTACAACGAACATTGCTTAAAGTTAGAAAGATGATCTTTTACATTTCACGCTTCCATATTTAAGGATGCCATTGTACATCATTTCTAAATTTATTTCCTACTGCGTTTTATGCCACTTGACCCCGTTATCTTCTCTAATCTATATTATCTTAAATTTTCATATTGATCAGACGCTCTCTGAAAAGCATCTCTAGCAATGGAGCTATCCCTTATGTGAAGCTGATTGACTCCGTCGTCAAGCCACGCCCTAAAGCGTGTGGCTCTGTGTGACTCAATCTTGTCTGATGCATCATATTCTTTACACTCAAACCTCTCTTGCTTCAGTTCCACTTTTGTAACCAACACTAAATTTAAATCTTTATACACTCGCACCACAGCATTTTACACTTCCGCTGGGCCTTAGCCTTCTCCTGTATTGGTTTCCAGAAGACGAATGTCAAACTAACTGATGCACACAGTCTCATGTAAGTTGCTATGCTGCAATTTCTACTTTTGCTGCGCATTCTCACTCCTCACCGTTATCCTCTATTACTTACTAAATGTCATACCTTTAAATCCATTTTAATAGCATATCAAAACACAAGTAATAATATTTTTTTCCT